GGATAAAAAGGAGTGTTCACTGGAAACTGTAAGGGGGAGGGGCGAATAAAAATCACTAAGATAATAGTAGTATAGACTTGACACAAGAAAGCTTCAAAATTAATAATTCCAAGATAGCTTGCTATATGTACTATAGTTAAGGTAAGCCTATATTGGTAACAGATACATCTTTTTAAAAATTATCTCAGAAAATGTTAGCTAAATATACAATTCTAGCCTGATAAAACTGTCAGAAATCTTTGATTAACAGAGTAAAAACTTGGGCTATTCTCATGCTTTAGGGTACAGGAAGATGCAGGACCAGATTCTTGATTTCACTAGATTTATGCTGATTTACCCTAACTGGCAGTCTGGCCTACACATCTTATTTCGTGCTCTCTCGCTCTCCCTCTCTCTTTATATATAATATAAGTATTACAGGAAACCATAGCACACATATTGATAATAGTGTTCTGTCTCCTTAAGGAGGTTTTTCAACTTCATGCTTAAAGAGCACTTTATTGTTGTTCCTCAGTGTCTCCCTTGATTACCCCCTTACCCACACCCTTTACTAATATCTAAAAACATTTCCCAGACATAAGTATGTGTGGGTGTGTGGAGGGAGTGTAGGAAAATTTCTAAGGGATCTGACATCCCAGACTTAAATATAGAATATCTGCATAGTGGCTTCTAACACACAAATATAATGGTTTCTGATTTTAGAAGCCCCAAGGAAACATCATACAATTTAGCAGACACAGTAGGTGAAATAGTTAGTCCTAGTACTTAACTACAGTTTCCAGAGCTCTTCTGTAGCTCTATGTTTTAGGCAAAGCTCCAAGAAGCTGCCTACGCAGAGCTAGATGGAGCTGGCAAGGCGCAGATGGTGGTCACGTGAAGGCACAGTCAAAGAGTGGGCTTGCTTACAATGTCTGTATGTCTCGGCTGCTGTGTTCCTCAGCTGTCACGCAGAGCCAAATCGCAGCAGGTCCCCTTCCTCCCAAGTCTTGTTTCATTTAGTACAAATGGAGGAGGAGGAGGATTGTGCAAATCTCAGTGTTTTATGGCTTATAAGAAACAGTCACTGCCTTGGCTCATTGTCAGTTTTAGAATGTGACATTTTCCTAAAAGTTATGCTATGCATCTTAGTTCCTTTTTCATTGCCCTTATTATAACTCCAATATTTGCATAACACAACAGCAAAATACTTCAAACCCAGAGCAAAGCTGATTTTTGTATATGTTATGCATGCAACATCCCTGTTTACGTGTGTTCCGGGGACTACTTGTATGACTAAGGGACCAAAAAACCAGTCCCCTGCCTTAGCTGAAAAAGTCCGACAGAATTTAATAGAAAATGAAGGTCTTAAGCCTGGCAATAGAATGCAGTGGTGAATTATAGCCCACCGATATAGTTCTAGAAGGTGGTCTGAAACAGTCAATGAAAGGTTCTCATTCTCCATGAAATTCTCATTTACACTAAGGCCCCATTAGCAATGTAAAGTGGCTATAAAGTGAGTGCAAATGTAATTTCTGCTCTCTAAGGCCCTTTTATATGTCCAGAACAATTGAAAGTGGAAATAGTGAAAATGGGAATTGGGTCTAAATTTTGACAGTAGATTATATAAACCCCTTTCTCAGTTCCTATGCAACCAGGTTGATTTAATCACTATTCAGTTCTAGTGGGCTTTTTCAGAGGATTCATTTCCAGGCCAGACTTTTTTTTTCCCCCTTCTAATTTTTTGCAAGAACTTTAGGACCCAATCCTCATTCCATTAAAGTCCAGGTGAATTTTTGCTTTCCCTTTGCTTTCACTGGAGCAGGAGTGGGCACATTCTGAAAGCTCTGAGGGTACATCTACACAGCACTGTGACTTGAAATAAGATACACCATTTGAGCTATGCAAATTACATATCTTATTTCAATGCTATTTTGAATAGCTTATTTCATCATTTGGTGCTGTGTACACAGCGCCACATTTCTAAATGAAGTGCTATTCCAAAACATCCCTTATACCTCATAGAATGAGGTTTACAGGGACATCGGAATAGCGAGCCTGAAATAATGGGCTTGCTGTGAAAACACGGGATAGCTATTTCAGGATTTTTTGAGAGAGCAAAAATTAAAGCTCTTTATGTAAAGTCCTCAGAATGTCATGTCTGGAACAAAATGCATATTTTTTTTCAATACATGCATTGTATTTTCTGTCGCCACCCTCAGATCTTTCACAGCAAATGTGTGTTATGCCTCATCATTATGAAAGATTCAATAGTGCCGAAGGGTGACAACCTATTTAAATCACTGGATTGGTGGCTGGAACCCTCTATGCAATGCACCCCTTCCCCGCATGAGGGAGAAGACACTGGGTGCAAGATCTAACCGATGGCAATGAACAAAGAATGAAAAACAAGGGATTGGGTTAAAGGTCAAAGGATTAAAAGAGACAGATCTATAGAGTGAACATTTAGCCATAGCTGAAATACAGCACAGGCAGCAGCAGATCAAACTTCCCCAATCTGCCCTGCCCCTCAGCCTGTGCAGTAGGAGGGTTGGTCAGTCTCCCTGTCTATTCAGTCCTTGGCTTTGCCACCGATAGTGCTGGTGATACCAAAGGGTGCTGGCTTTAATGGCAGCCGCCCACATTCTTTGAGCTATCCCCTTAAAACAGTTTAACAAAACCCTTTTCACAAATCTAAAATAATTCAGTTACATGCACCACCAACACGACTTCTTTGGCAAATAAAATCGCCTGGATGTTGGGTAAGACACCCATCTGGATAAAGGCATTTTTTGAACAAAATTTGTAAAAGGCTTATATTTCCCACCAGAAATTGCAAACATTTTCAAAAGTGCCCAAATGCACAAGACTGAGATTACTCAATGCCTAAGTCCTTTTTCAAAATGGGATTTTTAGACACTTTGAAAATGTTACCCCACAGCTGGAGTGAAACAGCCCTAAGAGGGCGTTGTCTAGACTGCTGGAAGGCACCATCTTCTGGGTGTCCAGGGGTCCTCCATTTTGAGGGGTGATCCCTGCACTTTTTTCTGTCTTTGGCCGGTGGCTGGAAAGTAGAAAGGTTACTTCCACATGTCCCTCGCCGTTGGGAAGTTAAATATTCCATGGATCCACATACAATGGCTGTTCAGATATAAGGATCAAGCAACTCCCACTGACATCAATAAAATACTTTCCACTGACATCATGGAGAGATGCATTGGTCCCCAAAATGGCGGCAATGGACCCGAAATCAATCCTTTTAATTGAATTCCACTGTACCGGGCTTCTTTCCAAGGCTGTCATTACCTCAGTTTATTTGAAGGCCATTTCGGAGTCAGATTTGCTGCTTGGCTAGCATTAACTATGCAGGTAAATTGCTGCAGGTGCAAAACTGTACCCACAAGCACTTGTGCCTGCAGATCAGCAAGCCCAAAAAGGGAAACCAGGTTGAGGCTGGTCTCAAAATTTACACGTGGAGGAGGGGGGTAACTTTTTTTAATAAGTAGTTAAGGCCCTGATGCCCTGATGTCATTTAATAAGTAGTTACGGCCCTGATGTCATTTAGACACCTAGTGTACATCTCCACTGAATGGCTATTTTGGGAGAATGGAAGTATCCTGAAATAGCTACGCCACGTCTACATAAGCTGCCCATTATTTTGAAATATTTTTTGAAATACGGGTGCACTATTTCAACATCCCAGTAAACCTTGTTGCATGAGGGATAAGGGATGGTTCAAAATAGCACGTTATTTTGAATAATTGCTGTGCAGATGCGCCAAATTTCAAAATAAGCTATTTCGAAATAGTTTTGAAATAAGATATGCAATTCATGTAGCGCAAATTACATATCTCATTTTGAGTTTAGGGTGCTGTGTTTCAATAGATTTTACTGATTTCAATAGAAGGTAGGCACCTAAATACATTTTCAGGTCTCAGCCTATGTGACTTAGGAGCCTTAATCACATTTTCAAATGTGACATAAGCACAAGCACTTAAGCCTCATTGCAAGTCAAGGGGACTTAATACTACTATGTGCCTAAATCATTTTTTAAATTGGGACCAAAGCACATAAGTCATGTAAGCACTTTTGAAAATGCTATTTCTTATGTTTAATTGCTTTAACCTTAAGCGAGTTATTGTCCTTTCCCTTCCTACAGAAGCTGCTGTACAGTTTTGCTCGTATACAATGGCTATTTTATTTCACCCAAGAGATGGAGTCACTTCTGTTGGGATGAGGGAATCTCTAGATACACAGAACCAGACTCTTTACTGCCTTGTCCCTGATCCTTGCTGCAGCTGTACAAATAAATGTCTGCAAAGTACTACCAAAGCGGAAGTCTTTGTTCACTCACACAAGTTTTAGATTCACTTCACAGAGGTGCAAATGACTGTATGTCTGAGCACACCAGTGGAGAATCAGTCCCATAACCTGTAAAGCACTTTCGGATCCTAACCTTCAGGCTACAAACCACTGTTTAATTGCAGTTGGTGATGAATGATTATCTTCACCACTACTCATTAGGAAATCATTATCTCTTGTATTCATAGATTATATTCTTAGGATCCTGGCACAACCTTCTGGGGGCAGGGGCCTTTCTATATATGCAGTGATCTATCTCTCAAGGTTCTTGGCCCACATCCATCCCTGCTGCAACTCTATTGTTCTCCCAGCAAGAACACCAAGAAAGAATTTGGCCTGCTGCACTTTGAGGAAAATGAAACTGTTATTACAGTCTTGTTGATACAGGATTTCCAGAAGTGACTAGCTACTTGGGAGCTTCAGTTTTAGGTGTCCAACTTGAGAGATGTTACCTTTGTCTTATTTTCAAAGGGCATGTCTACACAGCACAGTAAAATTAAGCTACACAACTTCAGCTACGTCAATTGCGTAGCTGAAGTCGAAATAGCTTAACTCGGCTTTTGACGCTGTCTACTCAGCAGAAAGCCCAAAGGAGAACACTCTTCCTTCAACTTCCCTTGCTACTTGTGAAATGAGGGTAACAGGAGTTGGAGTAAGAAGTCCTCCAGCTTGACAGTATTTTGAAATAGTGGCTTGCTGTGTAGACATGCTCTTTGTTGTTTCAGAATAACTTCAGTTACTCCGAAATAATGCTGTTGTACAGTTATGGCCAAAGTGTACTGAGCACCACTCCTGGAAAAGTAGGCCCCTTTAGGGATCTCATCAGGGCCTCTTGAAAACCTTGACTAGAGTTGATACTGTTACCAGCAGGAGATTCTCATTTCTTGCTGGTCTTAGCCAGCATTTGAAAGGTGTCGCTTGCCCTCACTGCTCACACATGTACAGTAAATCCCAGTAATGTACAGTATCCAAGAGCACAACTCCCTAAGCATGACTAGAATCATTTCACTTCAACAGTCCAGATCCTCACCTGATGTAAATCAGTGTAGCTCCACAGAGGTCAATGGAATAGATAGAGAGACACCAACCAAGGATCTGGTCCATTGTTTGCTACTATTTATAGCTCAGCGGAGGATTCCCAATAAAGGATCAGAACTGCTTTTGTCCATACCTATTAAAGATGCTCCTTGAGGAATATTTGTGCAGCCACATCTTTAGAATTTTTGTGATACATTTAGCTCTTCCCACCAGGGCCCTTGGCAACAGCGGCCATAGCATTTGCTCTTAGAAATGACTGGAAAATATAAATATAAAATGTGTGACTGTTTTCTTCTTTGTCAAAAATCGTTAAGCACTCATCTATTTGCAGTGTCTACAGTGGTAATAGCCTGACATTTCTTATTCATTCCCTACAAAATAAGCCAAAAAACACCCTTCCCCCGTTATACTTTCTGTTGCTGGATTTCAGTACCAGTTAATGAGTGTAACCGAACACCCACGAAAAAGACCTGGTATCTGTGTTTCCACATCACAAAGCATGCCAACAAACACACAATAGCTGTGATCAGATTAAGAACCATCTGCAGTAGCAGATACAGATTAAAAGTACCAGTGACATTAGAGCAGTCAGATACATCCTGGTAAACGAAGGTCCTACTGAGGGGATCTGAAGTGTCCAGTTTGCACTGGCAAGACTCGAGGACGGTATCACAGGTAAACTGTGTAATCTGGGAATAACGATGGGCAACAAAAGCCACTGCCAGAATGCAGACAATCAGACCCAGGGTGCTCAGGAGAAAGTACATCAGCTGAAATAAAGCAAAAAAGAAAAAAAACACACAATCTTTTCCAGATCCAAAGAGAACAGGGCATCCACAACCAAAGCATGCACACAGATTTTTCTAGTGAAAGCTTTTGTTTGAGGTACAGTTTATACATTTCATGCTCACATGTTGCAATAAACATGTAATTCTGGGTTGGTGAGGCCTGTAGGTGCTAAAAGCAGTTGCAAGTACCTCAGCCCTCCAAAGGCATATTTTATTTATTTCACACAAGGGTTGGAATCTAATTTTCAGAACAGACCTGTTAAAATGAATATCAAGGAGTGTAACTTTTTATAAGAAGAGTATATTTAATGGATATGGGTGCACTTTTGTGGTATTGTTTGTGCCACTTTGACTAGAGTTGTAATAGCTTGATTGGGTAGATTGGTATGGCTCTACTGAAGTCAATGGGGCCACAGCGATTTATACCAGCTGAGGTGCTAGCATCAAATATTTAATGTTAAGCTGTAGCACTTACAGAAGTGCTGTCATTATGTCATTGACATAAAGGATCTCTTAAAATTACAGGAACAAGTTTGTGCATGGATTTGCTCATGGCTGTGTTTTGCACATACAAAAAACTCAAGACTCCGGCAGGCATATTGGACAGTTAGATGTCTAATAGCCTGGATGTGGATTACAAGCATACTTTGCTTGAACTCATCTGAGGTTCCATGTGGAAAATAATGATCACTACAAATCAGGCAAACACATTTATAGGGATAAATTTATGCCTCACATTGAGGCCCCTTTGGAAACCTCTGTTATCCTGGGCCAGGAAGGTGAAGATTCCAAAGACACAGAAGGAAGTTAAGGCCCCATTACTTTTGAAGGCTGCCACTTGCATGAAATAAGAAAAATAGAGTACTTTTTTTAGTCCCAGAAGGATATTAATTATTTGGGGTCTGGTATGAAACCTGCACCATGTGGATGGAATTCTGACATCATTGTGAGATCATTCAGAGCCCGAGTCACTTCAGGTAGCAGAAGTGAAGCTTTTGATTATTATCAAGCTTGGAATTATCTGACATTTGAATTCTGGATTTGGCAATTTTTGTATCGCATTCACTTACCTTTTGTAAATATATATTAAAACATAACTCTGTGCATAGTGCCAATAGCATTTCTGGTTCTGCTCCGCAAATATGGAGACATTTAGGGTATGTCTACACTTGCACCCTATTTCGAGAAAGGGATGCAAATGAAGACATTCAAAATTGCAAATGAAGCCGGGATTTAAATAGCCCATGCTTCATTTGCATAATCACGTTATAGCGCTATTTCGAAATAGCGCTATTTCGAAATAGCGCTATTTCGAAATAGCGCTATTTCGAAATAGCGCTATTTCGAAATAGCGCTATTTCGAAATAGCGCTATTTCGAAATAGCGCTATTTCGAAATAGCGCTATTTCGAAATAGCGCTATTTCGAAATAACAGACGCTGTTAAGATGCGGTAATTTTGAGAGAAAACCCTTCTCTCAAAATAACTGATAACTCTTATTCCTCATACAATGATGTTTATCAGTTATTTTGAGAGAAGGGTTTTCTCTCAAAATTACCGCATCTTAACAGCGTCTGTTATTTCGAAATAGCGTGATTTCGAAATAGCGCTATAACGTGATTATGCAAATGAAGCATGGGATATTTAAATCCCAGTTTCATTTGCAATTTCAAATGTCTTCATTTGCATCACTCTCTCAAAAGAGGGTGCAAGTGTAGACATACCCTTATTTCTCTTGGCCTCTTACCTATCTGCCAGCAAAATGATTTGATTGCGAATTTGTTATTTTAAATAAGGAGGCTTTTTTAAATCTCTGCACCACAAGCAAACTACCAATACATAAGCATTTTTTATGACCTTGAAGCTCCAGATATGTAATGTTTTTATAAAATCCACTCCATATTTGGCTTTGATTCGCACTGTAGGTCTATCTTCCCATACATCTGTCAGTGTGGGAAAAAATAATAGGGCTTATAGGTGACATCAAGTCAGTATATCCCTTCTGCTCCCCAAAATAACCAAATATAATTAAATCTTCCATTTAGAAGCCATAGCTTCTAATAAGTTTAATGACTCCTGAAGCTTTAAACTTAGGGACATTTTAAATGAAGGTTTTTATTAAATTTAATTACATTCCCCTTTTCATGGTAAAGGCCCACAGTAAAGGTATAGATTTGAAATGAGGGCAGCTTCTATTAAAAACTGCATGGTTAAGGGGTAGCTGCTAATTCAGAGCAGTCTCTAAACAAAGATGTGTGGTAATTTATGAGCAAGTGATAGTATTTCAAAAGATGACACAAACATTTATAAAGGGAAAAACATGCTGGCAACAGATAAATGCATTAATGTTGTTGTTCAATTTTTCTCTGTTAATCTGTAGCAACCTCACAGAACAGAAAGGACTGGAAAGTAGAACATGACCTCATTACATGAATTTTTACACCTGTATGTTCCACAGGTCTGCTTTTGAACTGATTGGCATGGTATGCAGATATAATCACCTACAGAAAGTGTAAAATGGCATCAAATCAATAATCTAGGGAGTTCATCCTGTATGCTCACGTGTATTTAATTAAAGTATTTAGTTTGGTGTACGGTATGCAAAATGATGCCATATATGAAGGAAATCTAAGGTTTCCTTTCAGATGCAAAACTACCCAGGCAGCCCCTGCAGCAATCAGCTGAGACTCACGGTCATATGGGAGCATTTAGCAATTGACAAATAGCTATTATCCTCACACTGTGTTTACAGAGGAATTTCCTCTGCCATCAGATGGAAATGAACACATTTCTAAATATCAAAGGTGAGTCAAAAGAAAATGCTGCCTGGGAAGGAGCACAAGGCAGTGAGTGCAGAGATCCCATCAGCAGACTAATCACATGGCAGACCCAGAGGCAACTCCAAAATTGCAAATAAAACTGCTTAGGGAGCTCTGCCAGGGGGCCACAATTTGTCCCTGCAGAAATGTTTTTCATGGCTTGAGACATGTGATTGTCATCAAAATAGAAAGAGAAAGCGAGGAATGGGGGAAGTAACAGATGATGATTAGGTACAGTGAATGGCAGGTCACATGCATCCTCCTTTGGGTTCATCATGTAGGAAAAGAAAAGATTGTAAAATATTTACTGATAAGAAAAATATATTTTTGTTACACATCAGGGAAATAAACAATTCAGGTAAGATGCCTTGTGTCCTGTATGGGAAAGTCTATAATATTAAGGATTAAATTAACCAGACTCCGCATAAAGTACTCTAAAACCTGTAGAATGAAAGAGAGGAACCTGTCTAAGAGTTAAATCAACTTGGACCTTAATCCCACGAAGAGAAATGGGGAGGAAAAAGCCACCCTTTTCACCAGGGTAAGTGCTATCTGGTGCAGGTGAGTGGATGTATCTCTGCCTTCTTTGCAAATCTTCCCCTTGATTTTATTCACTTTCCTTTTCCATTTAATTATTTCACTCATTATTCCACACAACATAACATGAAGAGCCTTAGAAAGAAAAGTAACCTGGAGAAATGCTGCTGCACTGGAAAAACAAAGTTTAGTGCACTTCACGTGATATTCATCCACACACAGGGTCAATGAACTCCACAAGTACCACTTTAGTGCTGTTTTAACAATTTAAATGGAACATTAGTGGTGCATTATCCTTGTCCTGCTCCTATGTATATGGAGGGATTTTATCCTTGGAACTGTAATACCTGACAAAACATGAAGTCAGGCTACATGCTTTAGATGAATTTACTATATATCCTTGCTATGTGGGTGGGCATCCTCCCCAAGCCTTCTAACTTGCATATGCACATGCCGTCAGCAGCTACTTTTCTGGTAAGGGGGTGAACTCGATCATAAATGCCAGAAAGAAATACAATAAAGTTCTATTTATCAGCACTTCTTTAATATGAAATTCTCTCATCCTCATAACTGTGATGTCTTCCCTTACCCAATAACCCCCTCGTTTTCAGAACCCTTGATTTCATTTATCCAAATGTCCTTGACATTCCCAAAACACTGCAGATAAAATGGGCTCTCACCCAAAAATAAAGTATCTATCACATCTTGATCTAGAATTCCCTTTTTATACAGACTGCAAATATGTATGCAGGGTATTAGCATACATCCTTCTAAGCATTTGTTTGATTTCTAGCCTACCAAACTAAGGGTTAAAATCTTGCAAATTTCAAAGTGCAATCTGGCTTCTTCTATGTGGGAATTATCCTGCACAGCAGTTTCTAATGTTTTTAATATGGAAAGGCAAAACAAAAATTACACTGTACCTTTATGGCAAACTGGCAACATGTCTTCTCCTCAGGCTGATATGAAACACAAAGCATAACCATCCCCACTAAGGCCACCACACAGACCTGCAAAGGAAGACATTTAAAGGGATAATGTCAAGATAAAGGTCTTTTTTTCCCCCAAACCAATGTCCTATCTGTATTGCCAGTACCTACATTTTAAAACGTGCTTTAATAGCCTAGCTGTAGTACGTACATGGCCCAACAGCACCTCACAATTTTACCACTTCCCTCGGTGGGTAGGGGGCTATTCACACGACACTCCTGTGATGTAGGGTAGTACTATTGTGTCCATTTTACAGATGGGACAGGAGGGACAGAGAGGTTAAGTGACTTAATTAAGGTCACAGAAGAAGTCTCTGAATAAACAGGTCTCACAAGTCCAAAGCTAGAACTCTAACCACTGGGAAATGCTGCTCCTTTAAAACGTAGCCCGTGGTTTTCAAAATTTGAAAGCTTAAAGTTAGCCTCCCTCAATCCATAATAAGGCCTCTAAATGAATGGCCTGACTGTCAGAGGTGTTGCGCACTCACCTCTCCGGCTAGAATCAATAGGAGCCGCTTAGCTCAGGATTTCTGAAAATCAGGACAATTATTTAGCTGGGTAAATATTTAGGGCCTAACTTCAGGCGCTAAGGTTTAGAAACCTGGTCCACAATTTATATTGCTCCATTTATGCTTCCTCTTTACATTTTGCACTTCATTCAGCTAAATTGTAAAATTTAATCCAACAGAACAATTGTAACCCAAAAAATGTGCCAGAGACTCCATTAAGCCTACCACGGGCTTGGAGGTTTCCTTGTAAAAATCAAAAGTAAGTGCTCTGATACTCGATGGATAGAAACTTTTGGGATGGAATTCTGGGTAACCCTGTGTAGCTAGAAAAGAGAGCACACAGGAGCCAGGCAAAGTTCTGCCTTTACTACTTTCAAAATGTGATGTAGGCCAGATATGTGCCCAATGACAACTCCATAGCCATAACTGGGGTAGATAGGAGAGTTGGGACCTAGCTGTCACCATGATCCTTGTACCTCTGCTAAGAGCTAGCATGTACAGATGAGCTTGTTTCTGAAGCATCAGCTGCTAATTGCACTCGCTGATGTTCCATGAGCCATTATACCTTATTTGCCCTTAATAGGCAGAAAAACCTTCAGTTACTTGCTATGCTCCACTCCCTTTTCTAGAGCTCTCCCAGGAGACAGATTATAATCTTTTGTTTAGGGGCTTGTCTGTGGACAGAAGTTGCTCCCATCTCATTTAAAATTGATTTTAAACTAATTTGATTAATTCATGTGGTCTTTCAGTGTCTCTAGCCACTAGGTCCTCTTTGGGCTCTTTGTCCTGGGACTACTATGACATGTACCCTTTGGCCAACACATTCCATATGACCCAATCATCTCAGTTGATACGCTCTCAGCTTTTCAGTGAGGGGGCCTATGTGAATCATGGCTAATACTGTTCATTGTTGCAGCCAATCAAGTCTTACCTTAGCCAAAGTCCATGCAAGTACTTATTTTTGCAGTGATAAGTTCTTTTCTCTACCTCTCGCGTGTAGTTGGGTGTGGCAGCATGCAGAATAGACAAAGTGGCTAGGATAATTGTGATGTTACATACTTTGCTCGTTAGTGTACTTGGCATATTCTTACTACACAGAGAGTTCCCCCCATTTATACAAAACCATCTTCATCTGGCTTCTAACATCCACAACCACATCCCCATTGTGGCACAACGCTAACTGAGGTATTGAAATTGCTGCACAGACTCTATATCATCTAGCTTTATTTGCTCCTTGTTGTCCCCTGGAAACACTGCATGTGTTCCATTCTTTGTCAGCTGATGCTGACGCCATTGTCTTCTAATGCAGCCTTCCATAGTTCAAGCCCCCTTTATAGTTTGTATGCATCTTCATGGTACAAAAGGTCATTGGCAAAAAGCATGGTGCTGGGAACCTCTCTCAAGTCTTCTGCATCCAGGCGTCCATTAAAATCACAAATAGGAATGTGTTTAATGCAGTTCCTATCCCTACCCTGAATGACGTATTGTAAGCACAGCTGCTTCTCACTACTGTTGTGCTACCCTTGTATGTGTCCATGATTGTCTGACTGTATGTTTCTGGCAGTTTACATGACAGAAGGCATCACTATAGCAGTTCTCTAGAAAGTGTCCTAAACCTCCTTTAAACTCACAATACTAAGTGCAATTTTTGTTACATTTCTCCTGCCATAGTCAGACTGCAAATCTTGTGTCCATCATTGACAAACCCAAACTGGTTGTTGCTTACTTGACACTCTAGCTAGCAGCACTGCTCCTGATTTTGTCTCTCAGTTCTTTCCACCCATTTCAATCCTGCAACTCATTCACTTGATGGGTCAGTAATGATTACATTCTGGAACATCTCCTTTTATATTTGAAGATGGGAACCAATGTGCTCTTCTTCCACTCACTGGGCATTCTTTCAGGATGGAGAATTAAGCAAAACAAGTTCACCCTCACTTCCTCATGGCCTAATGCTTTAAGTGTCTCAATTGGGGTGCTGTCCGATCCCACTGCCTTCCCCTCTTTCTTCATAATTAGCACTGTCTGAGTCTCCAATGCGGTGATACATTATATATTATATGTTCCCCCTCGATAGTTTCTACGGGTTCTGGTACTGGTCTTCCACCAACATTCTTTCATTTTCATCTCTGACCAACTTCACAGCTCCCAAGTCCTCAGTTTTTCTTCAACTAAACTTGGTAAATCTATATATTCCCTTTCCCCCTTTCTTCATTAGTAATTCTGCATATAAAGCTTTAAATCAGGGGTGGGGAACCTAAGGCTCAGGGGGCCAGATGTGACCCCTGGCTTGCCAGATCCAGCCCTCCTCCCCCAAGCATTGGGGAGCCTGTGCTGGTGCTCCAGCCCTCTGTCACCTTCCCACAGTGCTGGAGCACAGGAAATCTAGCCTAGGCCTCCAGGTTCTGGTGTGAGAGGGGAATCTGGGGAGTGGTTTTCTCCTTCTCAGTCAGGGGCCACATTAGTGAGGGTTTGTTTTTCTTTTCGGCTTCCCCCTTGTGTGCAGCCTCCGACAGATTTTTCTGTGGGTCAGCGGCGCCCAACACAAAAAGGCCCCCCGCTCCTGCTTTAAATGCCTGACCTTTAGCTTCTCCAGCCAGTGTTTTTAGCATTTTCTTTACCAGCTTGTATTTCTCAGAACCTTCTACCATCCTTATTTTCTGACTGTTTAAATCACTTCTCTTTTCCTGCCTCCTACACTTTATCCTACACACACTATCACAGCTCCCTGCCAAGAAGTTTCCTTTTTTCCATCTGGCCACAGGCAGCTTATGAACTTTCTGTGATATGTTTGGACATTTTTCCCTAAACCTCATCAGTCTGATTATGTCCAATCTCTGCAGAGTCTTGTCTTTATATCTCCAACTAACTTCTCTATCCTGGAGCTTCTGCCACTTTATTCTGTCTCCCATATCTCATCTTTTGTCCCCCACTGGCCTTTTGATTCAGAAGTCCAGTAGAAGCAAATCTATGTTAGTCCTCAATCATTTTACAGGTTCCCATGTGTTTTAGATCTCTTCCACATGTCTGGAAGTAATTACTCGGGAACCTATTGAAATAGCTCTCCTACCTAGTCAAATGCTTCTCCTTCTTTATAAAGCATCTATGGGCAATAATCAGGGCATAGACTCTGGCTAATTCCAAGATTTTCTACCAACTTCATTTCTGGTTCCAAAGCTTGTTCTCTATGACAATCATAATAGCCCTCACTGTGTTCTCACATTGCTGCCGTGATGTGCTCTGATCATCAAGTATCTGGAATTCCTCAACTGCATGACTTGTGTATGTATCTGCATGTAACATTATTAATACTTCCGCTTGGATTATTCCATCTTGATCTTGATACTGAGCCATGATGCATTATGTTGTAACTCTCCTGATGTTCATGGATTTCAGCCCCTTTCTTTTTGTCCCTCATACACAGGCAATATGCACTCTCCTTCTTTTCAACACCCTAGGTATTTCTCTATATTTGCCAGTCATTGTCCTCCCATTCAGGGGGAGTTCATTGGCTCATTTCTTTGGCCATGTGCACCCAGAATTTGGTAACCCTTTCCCATTTTCCACAGCTGTCAGGCAAAGCAGTCACATATCACTTCTGGGTGACAACCTTTTCTCAGCCTTTTGGCTAAAATCAAGGGTTTAATGATAGTCAGCAATATTTCCAATTTGCCTTAATAGCATGAGAAAGAGAAGGGACTTTTAAACTTTTCAAAATGTGGACTACACCATCTTAGCCAACAGTGCATCTCTCTACCTGTTTGTGATTGCTTTTCAGCCCCATGGAAATGACAGTACCTGTAATTGCTTATGCAGGAGAGTAATAGGAAAGTATTTATGTACCGTCACTGTCTTTATTAGCAGTATTATTTATTTGCAGTAGCACTTACCACATGCTAAGCACTTTTCAGGCACTTACAAAGGACAGTCCTTGCTCAAGGCTCAGAATCTAGTGCAACAAAGTATTCTCTTTTTTCAATGGAATTATTACACTGTCTGCTTTTGCTCTTCAGGGTGGGCTCAGCAGTATGAGGCAATCAGCATTCCTCTGAGGTGATTAACGTCCTCATCTTCAATATGACTTCAGTGGGAGCACTTAGCACCTCACTGGACAGCTCACCTAACCCTAACTCTGCAGGATCCAAATGCAGAACTATGTGACCAGCCAGATCTCCGTGCCCCGCCCCCCCGATTGTGCTCTACAAAACCTTGTAACAATGGCTCTTGCCCTTTCCAGACTACTGTACCCCTTTTCCAGTGTCTGATTTGTCTTCTGTACCCCCAAGTTTTACTTCACCTAAAAACTTCTTTCTTACACAAGCAGACATGAAAAACCTATCACAGCACACTATTGAGAAATGGCTGACACTCATTTTTACATTCTGATCATAAAATAAATCAATTGGAATATAACTATTGTACTTACATCCAGTGTATATATAGAACAGTATGAGCAAGTCATTGTCTGTATGAGATTTTAGTTTGTACTGACTTTGCAAGAGCTTTTTATGC